CACACACACACACACACTTTATCCTAGACCCTGCCTCTGCCTCCTAACTCCCATGAACTCACACCCCAGCGTACCTTCGTTGCCACGACGACGTGTTTATTATGATAATGGCGGAAGGACATCATAGCTTTCAATTAATACATCACGCTCGTCAAAACCGACAGCAGACCGTTTAATTGCAACAGTCCTGTCTACTGTGAGCCAGAATACACTCATTAACCGAACACACGGTTTTCCCCTACCCCGATTGTTGATAATAGATCGCCAAAACAAATATACCAAGTTTTGCGAGTTGACGGCAGAGTGAACCACTGCAAAGCGATGGCTGAGTGGGTGAAGGTCTTCGAGAAATTGCAACCACAGAACAATGATTGGGTACACCTGAATACTATCTCGCTTATTAGTGGATCCAAGTGTTACAATATTTTCACACATATAACAAGCAAAGTGAGGAGTCTTAAAATCTGCAATCAAATTTGAGAAAAACGTATCGTTGCTATGGAGACGGTGACCATATTGGATTTTGCTGATAATGCCATTCGCAATAAATACTGCAATTGGTTGGGGGGGGGGGGGTTGGGGGGGTTAATAGAAATATTTTTTGCATGCATTTTAACAGACAATAGATTTACAAATGTGTGTGTTGAATATAGTGGGAATATTCCTATCGAATATCTCAGTCTTCCTTCTGGGCTGCTGTATCACTTGCATCCTGGGTTACAAAAAACATGATATATCCCTCAAATGAAATACGAAGTTAATATGGTCTTATCACATGTAATTAAAGAATAAACATTCTAACTTTTATGTAATAATAGTATGTAGAGGGAGTACATGTGAGTCCCCAGACCCTCGAACTTTAAACACAAAACATTCGAGACACTTGAAAGGATTTTTATCCAACCCTAACCTTAACCGTAACGCCACGTGAGTACAGACGGGACTGTTGCAATTAACCGTGTTTTTCTGACGTTGCAAAAGGACAAAGTACAAAATGGCGTTTGTTGGAGATTTGCATCAAGTGACGCTGACACTTTGAACTATTTGTCAGCTATGTATGATTAGACTGCAGTGGGAAAATAGGTAATGCACACTTATTAGACGGAACTAGGTATTAAAGATAGGCTCGACCCTTGACAGGCAGCACCTGGATATTGCCTCCTTGATGATCTAAATTGTGTCTATGGGAGCGTAAAAAACATGCGCATTAAAAAGAATGCAAAATATACCGTTTCGTGATAGTAGTGTTTCTCGCTGTTTCCCACCTCCACATAACGATCTGTAACAAAGAATGAAATGGATAATCTCTAAAAATGCTCACGTAACGGCAATGTAAAACAAAATCAATGAATAAATTAGAAGTTTTCAGTTTTGAAATCAGGTGTACATGTACAAAATACGTGATATAAAGTACGAATATTGCTTGTTCAGAGGCAAAATCTCTGTTGACCAGTGTTGTCTAACTACTTACTTACTTTGTTACTTGTTTCGGGCATCTGTTACCTTGCAGTGTCGAGGGGAGAGACAAAGAAAGCCTTTCTCTTGTTTGTTGTGTCGCGTGTTCGCTACCTCAGAATTACAAAGAGCTATCTGATATTTTTTACCCCTTTAAGTAACTAAGACCATGAAGTCAGAAACAAAATGTTATCTGCACTATCAAAATAGTAAGATTATTCGGGGTCGTTAACAAGATACTCAAAGAATTGCATTTGAAAAGGCTTGACATGATTTGAAACTCAAAACCTTTGACGTCAAATTT